TCTTTTTATTGACCGAGAGATTACTTTGACTATTTTTCATTGGATATTGTAGAACCGACGAATTTGGCTAAAAAAAACAAAGTGTTCATTAGATCAATTTTATCTCACAGAAATATATCTTTTTTTTTTAAATTTTGACGAATAATCTCCAAAACTTTGTTAGAATATATAACATCACTTTGTTCATCAATATCTATATCTAATATTTATAGAAGGATTATTTCATCATTTCTGATCCAGTATTATGATGCAAAAGAAATCAAAAATGTCGAATCTTAGACGAACATTCAACTTGTTCAGAATTTATCAAAAAATCAAATAATTATTTTCGATTTGAATAATGTCAAAGGCGCTCTACGTTTTTTTTTTCCTTGTTTTTCTATCAACCTAACAAGAAATAATACTTATCAATAGAATTTGTTCCAGTATCGGTTATATAGAGTTTATATATTTTATTCTTTTTCTATTTCGAATAATACTCTCAGTAGTAAAAATAAGATAAATAATCTTAACTTTTCACAAATCGCTGGAGGTGTTACACTTGTTATTATCAGATACCAGTAGGTCTTTCTATTATAGGAAGACGCTTACACAATATTAACATATGACTACCTTAACTATTTATTATTTCTCGTTCTATGATGATATTCTTCATCCATGTTCTCTAGCTCAATAGCGATCAAAATCATTGTGATATATTCAAGCACTCTGTAAGTTGTGACAACACTGAAAAGCGTCATTAGAGTTGTAGTATTTTTTTTTTTGCAACAAAATGTTTTTTTTACAGTGTGCATTATTGAGATCAAACACTGAAGCTCCTTATAATAATTCTTTGAATGAAAACTCAACGATGAAAATAATGAACAAGTATCACTACAGTTCCATACAGAACAACAATATTCCGAAGACAGATTCTTTAAGACAATTGACAATGAAACAAATCGATGGTGTTCACACATAAACAAAAAAACCTGCCATACTGGAAATCCACAATAAACCTCAAAAATTACATATTTTTCACAACATGAAAGTTGTTGTTGTTGAATCTATCAAATAGTATCGCAAAGGAAAGGGAGAAATTGTCGTCTTCTTGTCCTTCATGTCGGAATAGTTATAATAACAAGTCATCTATCATCTATTCTCTTCTATCATTTTATTATTATTTTTTCCTGGCAATTAGACTCTTATACAGGTGTTTGCAAAAAAACTTGGAAACCTTCTTCCACAGATATCTTTTTCTACACAAGTGCTCTTCGAATTGTTTTATAGTATGATAGATAGCCCACGACGAGTTCTGTACAACAGTATAATTTCATATTCTTTTGATTGACTTATAAAAATATCGAAGAGGAAAGAAATTACACTTCTATATATACAACGTGTAGTATATCTGTCGAGGGTTTGTCCCTCAAAAAATCACTTTTGTAGTTACTTATAATAGTAGAGAAAAACGTTTTAAGAAAAAAAAAACTTTTCCAAGTTTTTTTGCAAACACCTGTATGTACCTCAAATAAAAGAAGGAGTATCATTTTCTGACCATCTATTTGATTTTTATTCTCACATAGCATCAAAGGTACATAGTTCATCTATTGAAATATTTTCTCCATATGTACATCTTCATCTTGCTTATCAAATTTCTCAATAGGGTAGCTTAGTACCCATATCAGTATTTGCTGCTGAATTGACGATCTGCTACATAAAGAAAAAAAAGCTCATGGTAGTATCAATCTCGTCCCACAAAACACCTACTGGACTAATATGCAACGTGCGATGAAGTTAAAAAAGTTTATTTTAGCAAAAGATTGTCTGATCAAGATAAGTAGAAACAATATAGACGTGTGAAAATACATCGGTACTATTGGAATTATAAACAATCGTTTATTCTATTCGATAAAAAAAACAAAGGCTGTACTAGAGAGAAACACGCGATCGTACTATATTGTTTTTGTTTTCGCGCTGGAAAAAATGCCTGAAGCCACCTGAATTGAATTTTGTTGTTTCACAAACAGAACAGACAGCAGAACAAGGAACCGTAACGGTCTATCTCGTTGTAACTACTGCATTCCTTTCTATATCATTCTTGATAGACCACGAACAATTATTATTTATATTTTTTATCGTTTCTTCCGTCAGTATAGTAGTGAAATTCAGATGATTCTGCACTCGTTCAATATCCTCCAGTCAAAATTTTTCAGTTACTAACTTTCAACAATGTCGGAATATATTCTGACGATATGTTTTTACAAACATTACAAATCATTATTCCTGATCTTTCATTGTTCTATATACATGATCTTCTATTTAATGCTGATAACAACATTAGTACGATTCAAAACAATAATGTATAATGGTATTATTATCCAGAAACAATGAAAACTACGTTTTTTATTCTACAATATGTTCCTTACAAAAACAAATGCTACATTATATAGACCTGCCAAGTGAGTTACATAATCAAATAAACATTTTTTTTCCTACTATCATTGTTTAATAACTTCACCATTGTTTAAGTGACTAACATTCGTCACAAATGTATTATTGCTTGATTATCTGACTCATCTTGTGTATCAGAGAGAAGGATGGATCATGAACATCCTTCATTGTAAACAGATTTTATTTCCTATTCAGTTTTCCATTTTCTTCAACTTATAACTCATCATATACTAGTTGTTTCTCATTTGAAGTAATACTTCTGACTGAGGTAAATAGTTATTCGAAACCTTACACATAGAAGGGTAGATCAGTTGAATACACTTTATACTACTATTGGTTGCTCAAGAACGATCAGAAACAATGATAAAATCTTTGTATAAAAACCAAATGAATATTCGAAAAGTTTTTAATAAACGATACGTATGGTCTTAAACAACGTTTTCCTTTTTGAAAAAGAAAAAACTCAAAAAATGTTACTAAAAATAGTTAATAACTGGTCTAATACAAACGTTAGTTTTTTATTTATTTTAAGTATTTATTTCAGTTGAAAATCAGGGATGTTAATAATGAAGATACAACTTGTCCAACTACATTAATGAATGCAATATTCATTCATCTTCTCATTTTTATTTTTTATATTTAAATTTTAAAATTATCTGACGATGAATCTGGTATTGATTTATTGAAAATCCCTAGAACAAAAGAAAAAGCTTATCTTACGTGACAATCTAAGTGCAATTGTTCTATACAATGAAGGAGCTAGTAACATTACAACCAGCTGATACTTATAAAGATAATTGATATAAATCAACACAAGGTCATAATTCAGTTTTTCTTTCTATGTTGCAATATTACTTCTTCATTTTTAGAAGCAATTCGATGTAAATTCAAATTAGACAACGATCAACTAGGACAAATCTTCAACAAATGACTACATGAAGTTTTTGCTAGTGAGGAAGTGAGAACCGGTGGCAAAATTAAATCTTCGAAATTTAATGAATATCTTCTTTATACTCGAATAATAGTTTTTGTTGTTATTTACTATTTGTAACTACCTTGTTTATTTCAATAAAAGTATGAAAGAGAAAATATTTATTGAATATATTAGAGCTAATAAAAACACTTTTTCAATTAGTCTTTTTTGTATCTGAAGAGAGTATTAGTATAACGAATTTAATATAAGAAGTATCTATGAAAATAGACGAACATATTACTTACCCTAGAGAAAGTACTGAGTTCAGGGTACCCATGTATTGAGAAAGCCTTAGCAGGATACCTAATATGGGTACTTCAAGAATTCTCAGTAATTATACTGATGTAGATACTGCAAGGGGTACCCATAAAAGTACGCTCACTGAGCAAGTACTTGTATGGATATCCGCACCTGTAATTTTACTGAGGAAAACTCTACAGAGTACCCTACATTTGTCGCGTTCTGCGTAGCGACTGTTCATTCACCGTTTTCTTTTTCGCGCACGGCTCCGTATAGACAACTGAGCAAAACAGAAGAAATTAATCCGTTTTCATACGAATTTTTTCTAGATTATTTCTTCAGTATTTCTTGACTATTTCTTAGTCGAGAACTATCCGATCTTGATCGTAGATTAAGAGCGGACTATCTTGAGATGGTCTCATGGATACTCGACCAACTCAGGTTTGATCAGATCTCGACATTTGACCTGTTGAGTTTTCAGAATTGAAAAAATTAAATATAGTAAAATCGAAAAAAATGTAATGAATCGCTTTGAGAGAAAGGAAATGCAAAAAGTGAAAGATCAGGTTCGATCCTGAACATACTGAAATTTTGGTAGCAGGATCCCTAGAAATACTGTACAATAGTACCCAATTGAGTATCTGATCAGTATCTTCAAGTACCCAGTTACTATACATTTTGTAGGAGGGTACCTACCAAAGTACCTATAAGTACTGTGGTACCCAAAAGTTCCTGTGACATACTGGTAACAGAGTACTTTTTCGGGTACTTTTAACGCAGTATATTCTCTAGGGTAGCTTCTTCACTTTATAAGTTGTTTGTTTGACACATAGAAAACGAACTTTAATCAAGAAGATTCTAAGAGGAAAAAACAGAAGGAAACATTGACTATACGCACACATTAGCAAACCAACGAATAAGATAATGGAAAATTCAAACCAACAAATGGATGAGAAGCTTTATAATGATTATGTTCAGCATAGTTAGTCTTACCTATAAGAATATTTTCAAAATAAATATAGACAAATCACATTCATAAATTAATGATTATTTCTGACTGATTTTTATGCTAAATGAAATTAATAATTAACTATTTCTATCGATCGATGCTGATTAATATCAAAATAGTATAACTTAATTGACTGAATGAAATCTTCTCATTCAGAACTTTTTTGCAATGATATTGCCAATTTATTCTTCATAGACTTCGAAAAACGATCTATGAAAAAAATAACGGATTTGTTTTCTAATAATATTTTTTTTAAATATGTTATTTGATTGTCAGAATGAATGAAATGAATAATCTCTGATTAATTTCTTCTTATTTTGATAATTTTGAAATTGAATGAAATAATTAACTTACTATGCTGACACTATGTCGAGGAATGAAGGGTAATACGTGATGAATATCTGGAGCTTCTGATTCTGGTTTCTTTGTTAATATCATAATGGCAATATCTTTTGGTAAAACAAACCAAATGAAATCTTTGTACTTTTCTAAAATATGCAATTCGGGATCTTTATTATAATCAATGAATCGAGGGGCATAAGTTATAATATTAGCTGCAATCGATCTTGCTTCATTAAGAGGATCTTTTGGAGGAGAAGCCATTGCCATTGAACTCTAAAAAAGAAAATTTAACAAATAAGACATGTTCATAAACTATTCTCACGTGAAAATTATTCATTGAGTGATCATTTCCAGAAATTTGTTCATCATTTTCATGCATTTGACCATTTTCATATGTTATATTTGTAAGACTCTGATATTGTTGTGAATGATCACTAGAATAGACTTGACGAGGATGCCATACACCAGTCATTTGATCATAGGTGTACTAAAAGAGATCAGAATTAAATGAATTATCTAATCTTTAAGAATAAAATGTTACCATTAAGAGAAATTTCCATCCATCATTGGCGACAAATTCTAAAGCATCTAATATATATTCAATTTCTTTATCGCTAGCAAAATAAGGCAAATTTAAACGAGTAAAACCAGGTTTTATCAATGGAATTTTATCCACTTTCTCATCATCTGCATCGATTCGATCACTAAAATATACAAAATCTTCATCTGAATATTAATTCCTACATTTATATTGATAATTACTATGCATCATCAGTTATAAACATTGTATATTGTCGTGCTTTCTCATCATCGATATTCAGCAGATCCTATCAATATCAAAGAAACAAATTTGAAATATTCAAATGTTATAAATCGTTTTATCGTTAAATTTGATGGTTTTCAAAATTGTCAATTCTATTATTAAGATAAGATTTTCTAAATGAAAAACTCGTACTTACTAAAACATAAGGTCCAGCACAAGCACATCCAGACCGTACTTGAATTCCAAATAAATCATTTAATAACGAACAAATAAAATTATGATGAAGATATTTGCTTAAATTTGGAACATAAATAAGAAATGAAAATATTGCAAGACGATCAACTTTTGAAGAACCAAGTACCATTAATTTTTCATTTTTTGGAAAACGTTTAAAAAATCTTTTTACTAATTCATTTTCACGTGCTTCAATTTTATCAGCACCAACCGAGTCTTTTAAATGAAATACTAATCCTGCACGAATTGAACCAAGAATATTAGGTGTTCCACCTTCTTCACGAGTTTCAATATCATCCACATATTCTACACTCTCACGAGTTACAAAATTTACCGTTCCACCACTTGGAACATCTGGAACACGATTATCAAAAAGAAACTTTTTAGCCACCAATATACCTAAACAACACAATATTACATTTACACAACATATCAAATATTCAACAAATATTAAATTATGGTATTTCAAAATATATTATAGAATATATGAATTGAGTATTGCCACATGGTACTTGTGATATTAATATGAGATATAAATCTCATCCTTGACATAATTAAATGTCAAAAACTAAGTGTACAACTTATTTTGACTAGGAGGATAAATTATGAAAGAAAAAGCTTTGCCGTATCTTCCTGTGCAAAAACCTCATTATTGAGATTTTTTCGAAAAATCGAATTTGCTGAGGAGGAGGAGGAGGATCTCTTAACTTAATAAATTTCTTTTTCGAAAGGAAAGTGAAAGTGTCATTCATAATTATTATCTAACTTGAACGTTTTTCTATTTGAATATTATTTTTAGTTAATATTGATTTAGATTATTCCATGTTAAAACATATTTATTCTACTTTTAAAAAATCTCTTCATTCGAAGTAACAATTCTTCATCAAGAAAATTTTGTTGATCAATAAAAATTGCTAAAATCTCATTACCTGGTGTGTCTGGTCCGCCAATAAATTTATGTGTGGAAATAAAAATGGCATCTTTATATCCATTAATTGAAGCATTCATATCAATTTTCAGGTAAGGAGCAGCTGAAGCATAATCCCAAAAAACCAAACCTTTGTAGATATGAACAAGAGAGGAAATAGCATCAACTTCTGTTCGAATACCAGTTACATTGCTTGCTGCATTAAATGTACAGATTATACGTTTTTTTGTTTTGTTATGATAATATTCCAATTTATCTTTAAGGATTGATCTATCAAGAACACTTTGTGTGTTCGTTGGAATTCGTACCATCTATAATGCAATCAATATTAATTTACTCATTTTCAATTAAATAATCAAATTATACTATTAATCAATAATCATCGAAAACATTAAATTTTTAGTCCGAAAATATATGATTAAAATCAATTATTAACATGAAAATCGTTTATTATCGATTTTTTCGAATTAAAAATCTGATTAAATTTGAGAGAATAATCGATTTTTGATCATCAATTATTGAAGAGAATATCTATTTTAGGCGGTTGAGATTGGTTCGATTAATAAAGGACTTTTTCAGATAAAATCTCAGCTTGTTTTATCTGTGAATTAAGTTCATTACCTCAACTCCTGTTTCTTTCCATGGCAATATATTTGAATGATGTTCAAATGCCGTGAAGAATACAACAGTTTTGGCACGAGATTCTTCCTGATTAAGATGTAAACTACCAACAAGTTTAATAATTGCTCCTGTTGAACCTGAAATGTTTAGATTTTATTTTAACAATAAGTGAAAATAATAAATTGTTGTTATTCTTACCAGATCCTGTAAAAATGACAACATCATCATCTTTGGCGTTAACAGATTTTTTAATGATTGCTCTTGCACTTTCACGAAATTTTGTAGTTTGTAGAGAACATGCACTGTTCTCACTATGAGTATTACCATAGCTAAAAAAAAAACAAGATTTTAAATAAACAAAAACAAATTTAAATTATTCATATATACAAAGGCATGACATGTTCAATCATATATTTTTCAAAAAATCTAAGACATCGTCCAGATGCTGTATAATCAGCATATATCACTAAAACAATAAATTTATTCTCAATAAATCTTTAAATTCTATGAAATATAATATATACTTTTTCTAGGTCCCCATGGTCCACGTATAACAAGATCTTTTCCAATAATATTTTCATCGATATAATCAAATAGTTTTGGTCGAACTGAAATCATTTAATTATGTTATTTATTAATCGAATTTTTAGATTTTATTTTAATTAATCAAGATAAATCTTTTTAAAAGTCTACTCTCATTCGACATAATACAAATGAATATAATTAATATTTACCATTTTCTTCAATAAACTTTTATCAAAGATCAATTTTATCTGTCACTATTCAAATCAACAAGCTTCAAATTTACTCTTCAACAAAAATTTTTCTTGTCTGTTAATTAAATATTACAACCGAAATCTATTCCAGTGGTTTTTTTTTTCTCATAATCTCGACATATTTCAGATAACAACCATATCATAGAAATCAACGAAACCTTATTGTTACATTTGTTAGAGCCGTCTTAGAAAAATCAGAAAGAATCTCAATGCAGCAATTTTTCTTTCAATAAAAGATTTTATTAAAATCTTCACTCATTTAAAAGTTTTGAAGATAATCTCTCTATGATAAGTAAGACAATCATCAATCATCCGCAAATATGAAGAGTTATATCTGACAAGAAATTTTTATTCTATGCTCAATTTAAAACAGATCATCGTTTTCTTTCATTATTCATCTTGTCTGAAAAATTCATTTCTAATTTCAGAAGTATATAAAAGGTAAAATTTTTCTAGTCTATATTTGCTATCAATAGTCCCTTCTAACTATCAATCAAAACATACGACTCTCGAAGATATGACATACATTTTCACGAATTTAGAAAGAAAGAAGATAATTGTTAGAACTCGACTATTTTTCATAATAAAATCAAGACTTGTAAGAAGATTTCCTCAAATAATAACTGATTAAGATATTCATTTAGGTATTGTTGAAACTATAGTTGTTCTAAAGAAATATTGACTAAATAGAATTTCTTAGATTCATCTGAAATTTTATTTATATTATTCTATAGTCTTCTTAGATGATCTCTTCAAATAATTAAAAAGAAAAATAATAAAAACTTTCTAAATAATTAATTAAAATCTATTTGACGAAGAAAAATATCTTTGAACTAACTATTATTATCTCTATTTGAAGCGAGATTCATATGATTTGAATTTCTATCTAATTGATATAGTTGAGGCAATTGTTGATGCATATCTGTTGAATGGAATGGTAAAATTCCTATTGAATTGTTTAATTTCTCTTGATTTCGATTAAATCGAATTTGAGATCTACTTAAATTCATTGAAGTATCAGACCGATTTGAAAACGGTAATTGCGAATAAGATAACGATTGTTGATTAGTTTCAATTGATTTTCTTGGTTGATCTTCAAAACTAGATTCAATATCTGTTAAATCATCGACTTTTGGTTGATCTATTAACAAATATTTTATTTAATAATAATTGAGAAAAAAAAAGACTTACCATCTTCTAATAAATAGTAAGCTTCCATAGCATACTAATTTAACAAAAATAAATAAATATATATTTTTATTCAAGTCATTAGAAATTCTCATCTTTTCTTTTTCTTTCAAAAACATTCAATTAAAAATAGAAAAAAATTATTCAGAAGAAAAACCAATTCTATTTAATGATTTATGATTAATAAACTACATTGATCAGAGAAGAATATATTATCATCTATACTATCTTCGCTTTTTAATGGTTAAATAATGATTCAAAAGAGAATCAGTGATCATTACTTATCAATTCTATATTCAACTAATCATTCTTCTTCTTATCAACGATATTTCTAAAAACAGATATCTTTCGAAATCTTTTAGATTTGCTGCTTTCGTAACCTATTATCTGTTCTACCTTGGAACTACATATTATTCTTTTCTATATTTTAAGACAATATTTACAAATAATTCAATTATTATCTTCTGATTAACGATGTGATTATATTTCTATTTAAAGCATAAACAAGTCTAACAACATGTTTTTATCTCGGTCATCTTCTCTGGATTTGAATGTCCTTCGGAGGTCATATCAATTACGTATTTTTTTTCGAATCAAACTGAAAAAGACTAAAAACTTCCGATAACTTGTTATAAAGATTACTATTCAACTGTATATCTTTAAAGATAAATGATACCAATGGCAATTTCAAAAAAGAAGGTGAGTGGGTATGTTTTTTTTTGAATAAGTTTGGATAGGAACAAGATAGAAAGCTACGATTTTCATCGTTGGAAAGAGGAGGTAAAGACGTATCGAATGTATATTGTAGAACATTTTTAAAGATGTTTTCTAAAGCTTTTTTAATCAGTTTTCTAAAAAAAATGCTTAAAACTGGTCTCTTATACAACACAAAAGAAAAAAACAAAAGAACAAAATGATTTTTTTTCATAGGAATGGATAGAAAAATCGCCTCAGAACATCCAGTACAATATCTATAACTCCTGAATGATTAAATCTAAAACTCTGCCCTTTGTGTAGTTTCGTAGATCTTCAATTATTGGTTTGAATGCACTCCTAATTATTGAAAATTCATCGTAGTCACTTGACAAAGTACATTGGTTTTCGAAAAGATCGATTTAAGTCCTTGAAAAAATCACATCAAGAAAAACTGTAATATATGATTCAATGCCTCTTTATCTCTTCTTTCTAACAGTGAAAATTGCAGCTTTCTATCATGTTCCTATCAAAACTTATTCAAAAAATACCCATCCGCCTTTTTTTTAAAACGAGCATTAGGAATAGATCAAATGGAATCACTTAACAAAATTTGCTTTTGACATATTTTTTAAAAAAAATAACGGGTGATGCAAAAGTTTTTGCAAAAATGTCGCTCCATTGTTCCTTGACTAAACATATTTGGAAGAAATCGGAAATACCTATTTAAGAATCTGCGTCGAAAGTGGTTGCTAACTGTATAATCAAAAAAGTTGTACCATGTATCGACTTGGAGTAACAAGCACATCTTTAAACACTACTAAAATGTACACTGCAAACGAAAAACAGTTCAAAACGACTGTGGCAAAATGATCAATTCCTCTGTATTTTGTGATATCCTTCGGCTCATTTTATCACAATGTTGTGCTCTTCTATCTATTAGAATATATGTTCTATTTTCAGGAATCAATATAACGAATACTATTGAAATTTTTGAAACAACATTGCCAAACAAAAACAACTTCGAAGTTCTCATCATTTTCAGGTTGATGTCCATTTTGTATTAGCCAGTGCTCGCTTTTGCCATTTCTGTGAGTTAGCAACATAAGAGTTGGGATATACTTGTAGCTCGAGTATCCTGAATCAACATTGTATCTATTTTGAATAGCAATGGTGACACTTGGATCTCGAAAAAATCTTATCAGATCCTCATCAGTTTCACATTCGGTTTTAGTGCGTTATTTTCAGTTTCCTTTTTTCGTGTTATCCAAAGCGATCTCGTACGATTTTCTATCAAGTTCGTAGAGAATTAAGCAGCAAATTTAACGAAATAAAGAGCAGAAAAATACAATGGACGACATGCGAGAAAATCAAAAAATAATGAGAGAACAGTTCCTTTCTCTCACAACTACATTGAGATGTTTTGCCAGCGTATATTTTAGTAGTGTTTAAAAATGTATTTTTTACTCGGAGCCAATATATGTTAAAACGTTTTTGATCATACAGTTAGAAAGTGCTTTCGATGCAGATTCCTAATAGATATTTTCGATTTCTCTTCAACTTGTTTTAGCCAAGGAAAAATAAAGCGACATTTTTGCAAAAACTTTTGCATCACCCGTTAAATATGTTCTAATTATGTTTGCAACAATACAACTTATCCATAGGTAACTCAATCACCCATTTTTGACTTTCTGAGTTCTATAACTCGTAAGAGCCATATACAGTAAAGAGCTCAAGCTTAGAGTTTCACAAGATAATTGAAAGATCTATCACTGCTAAAAATTTGACTTCATTTGATTCTACTATCACGGTTTTAAAGGTTCAGGAAACCGTGGTAATGTATTCATTCAAAAGATCTCTTCTCATTAGGCCCTTGTAAAGAAGTTTATATCTCTACAAATTTATTTGCGTCAATGAAAATATTTTCATATGAATTTGGAGCTAGAATGATAGACTTGATAACTATGGAATCTATTTTTCGAAAACTTATTTCTATCAAGAGTTATTACGAAAGCATTCTGGTAACGCACTCAGCAATCAGTAACACGCTCAGCAGAATTTTTTCAAGTTTTTTTAGTTCCAAGGTTTACCTACCAAAACTTTGTTCAAAGGGTGCCGAAGCAACTCAGAACGAATTCTATAATAAAATTCTTGTATTTCTTTAAAAAAAAAATATTTTCGTTATAACAATATGATAAAAACACGTTTATAAAAAAATCTACTCTTTAACTACAGGGTGTCCTAGAAGCTGTGTTCACTTAAGAAATGCATATAACTCCATTACTAAGCAAATATGATTTAATATGTTTTTTATTTGTAAGAGAAAAGCATTAAGAGTTTTTTGTCTAATACAGAGTTTATAAATACTCTTTAAAGACTATTATTTCTAGTTGCAACATAAAAATGTAGCGTTTTTCCTTCATAAAAAAACTAATATTCATTTCAAATTAAGAGAAGGATGAGTATATTTGGAATAATTTTTGATAGAAACTAGATAGAGATTTGTAGTTTTCACTATTGAAAAGAGGAAATGAAACTGCATCGAATCTTAAATACTAGATTTTTCTGAGAAGTTTTCTCAGAGTCATTCGCTAAGTTTTTTAAAAAATCGAGCCTTTTTAGTAGATTTAGAAAGTGGATTTTTCATCAAAAAATCAAAAACAAAGTCAATTTTTTGTGAAAAATCTGTCGAAAACACGCAGTAAAATGTTAATAACTCGTGACTGGTTAAATATTTTAACACCGAACTTGTATAGATTATTGAATTTTAGTTAACAATTCTAGTGTACTACTCAAAATTAAAATTTCAAAACGTTTTACATCGCATAATGTTTTCTCTGTTAATAACTTGGCAAGTAGACCTGAGAAAACATCTCAGAAAAATCTGATATTCAAGATGATATCACACCTTTTCCGAAAATTAGTGATCCACCATTTGATTATCATTAGAGACTATTGAATAATATATGGAACTATGCAGTAACACATCCTCTTTCGAATGGTGAAAACCGTAGCTCTCTATATTGTTCCTATCAAAAGTTACTCGCAATTAAAAAGTGATGGGTAATTTATGGACAACGCTGTATAACCGTTATACATGATAGGCAAACTAATCTTATTAGGACTTTATTGTTATGATATCAATTGAAATATAATCAAATAGCATAGAAAGAACGAGCATTTTTTTTCTCTATCATCCTATGTAAAAAGAAACTTTTATCAAGCTTACTACAATGTACTAAAAAATATCGTTGTCACTACTTTTCGATATCTCTCAGTAGAAAAAACATTACTTGTCAGTTTTTTTTCGACAAGTGAGATCAAGTTTTGTAACACGACTGTTGAAAACTAAGCAAGAAGATGGCATTTTATTAGATGTTCTAAAATAAAGTTCATCTCTCAATGATTCTTTCCGTATTATAGCTATCTCATAAAACGTTTCAAAACAATCTACTAAGAACCGGTTTTTTTTTGTGCTGTTAAAACATACAATAATAAAATTAAATCATACTTTATGTTTCGATGTCCCTTTCTTTTTTGTCAAATAGAGTGAATGGAAAAACATGACTCATATCCTTATATAGTTAAATGTGCTCTACAAACTAATCATGTTTAAATTCAATAAATTTGAACTTCAACTTTGATTACACTGAGCCGCCGTTAGCTGGACAAGTGGTATAAAACATCCGAGAGATATCTAAGACGATGATTACTTTTGATCGAAATTGTTCGATCTTATTTAAAATCTTTTCTCTTATTAATAGATATTTTGAATTGTCCATTTCTATAAGAATTAACAAATTCAAAGATTAGTAATCTAACTCTATCACTCTCTTGGAATTTTCTTAATCTTTTAAATAAGAAAGAAGACATTTCCTAGAGAAGTCGATTATCTTAACAAATCCAGAAAAAAAAGAAAAGATTCGCCATTAATTCAAATGATCCGATTTTCGCTTTCTGATAACTTTAAATCTAAAATACGTTTTTTTTTGATAAACTCCAAATAAAACAAAGGTTCGTCTAGATAAAAAAAATATATTACTTGTAAATCCCAATCATATTCATTGAGATATGAGATAACTTTATTTGTTTTCCATTTTGTTATTTTCTATAAATAAACAATATTATATTTAAATTTATCTCAAATCTGCTCACTTGAAATCGTTTAATTAAGTGGTCTCGTGATTGAGCCATTAACAATATTATTTTATCTAGAATATATAACAACAAACAAACAATTATAGAATTATTCGACTATACTATACACAATATATCAAAAGACGATTAATGAGAACAAGATTTTCATAAGATGATACAATTCAAATCGAATTAACTATTTTCATAAGACAGAAAACAATTAAATCTTTTCATTTTTTCGTAGAAAAAAAAATCGATTCTCCCCAAAAATACAGAATGAATTCTTTTTCTAGAGTATTAAAAGATAGATCTTTAATAAAAAAAAAATCGAGTCTCAACAAATAAGTAATAAGAGAGATATGATCAAAATACAAAAATGTCCATTTTATCTGAAATATCTGTTATAGTTCACATTTCGAACGTTATCACTATTCATTTTAAATTTGTTCTATTCAAATTTTAATCAATTATTTTATATTCGTTAAAAAATAACATTGTTCAATCAAACAAACTCATTTTCAAAATTTCACTAAACTTCCGTATTATTGACATTCGTTACATAGAGAATTACAACTCAACAGAATCAACAGTTACTCATGTCCTTGGAATCAGACAATAATCGACGATTAACTACACTCAATTGATGCTTCTTTTCGACTAGCTTCTCTGATCTTGTAAATACAAGATGGATTTCATCGCGAAACTAATATATAATCAATAGTCTACTATTGCTTTTTTTTTTACATTAACTCAAAATAAATGATTGTATTTTCTAAATTGATACTTATGACTAAATCTACATTATAATATAATTGAATATTATAAATATCTACTTTAAATTGAATCAGTTATTGAATTAAATCTAAAGAATAAAATAATGTATTAATTTCTAGTTCGGGCCGAATTTGTTGTTTGAAATCTAAATAAAAAATAATATCATTGGATATATCGATACGTACGACTACATTTGTTCTTAGTCTAAACTGAAATAAAAATAATGAAATTTTATATTGAAAATCTATAGTTAGAAGTGAATCAATTGTTGAACCAATCAAAATAAACAAAAATAATAATTTAAGTTTCAAAATTCTTATCTTTGATTGAATTTATTTTGTTGAAAAATCTAAATAAAAACATAATTTTATTTAATCAATTGAAATAAATAAGTAAAATCATCAGTTAGCCGCATTTACTTATCAATTTTAGTTAAAACCATTGATTTTCAAAGAAAATAAAGAACATAGGTACACTATCTACTATTTGTTAACATTCGTTTTTTTTCCGATCAATCAATTAATAAACAGATTTTAATAATTCTATTCAATGAAAACATTTTACTTACCAAATACTTTGAAGATCTAACAGATATTTAATCAATTATCAACAATAGAAATAACTTTTCAAACAAATAAAAACTCTCAAATAATTAATTAGATCAATCTTCTATAGGCTGACTTATGAACATTTTAAACGATTGAACTCAATCCATTATAATAAATATCTTTGACAAACATATTCACCATTACAGTTTCATTCGAACTTAGTTCATTAGTTTATCAGTTAAAGACTCAATTTAATATGAATAATGGTTGATCAAAATAGAAGGAGAAGATAATTAGGATTGATCAAGACATAATTAAGATAATAAATCAAATTCGAAAACTGATAAAAGCCTCATTCAGATAATCAAAACTATTCTTATCATTATTGAAGATTTATTCACACTTTCAACAATATCACTTTTGCTCATATCATATTAAATGATCAAACTCTTTAATTGGTCAAGTATTTTTAATTAATATCTATTTACTCGTTTACAATAATTTATCTCGTGTTTTTATTATATAAATGTTTATTTAATCTAATTGAAAGAATTTATTTATCTATTCAGATTGGTTAATCAATTCTTATCTAATGATTAGTCTTATCAAAACGGTAAATATTTTTAATTCTAAGAAAATTATTGAAAAATTTTTTGTTCTTCAGACGCATTTTTTTATTCCTATAATGAAGAACTCTATCAAACCATGTTAAATGACTTTAAATAAGTGAAAGTACAGAGTGTATCATCGAAGAAATTTTTATTTTCATATTAAACTGAAAAATTATTTTAGAATAAAACCTTATGATGAAGAAAAAACTAATCAACAAATTTGATTAGTGAAGACTTATTCTAAACTTATATTAAATTAAATATTTGTTTAGTGAATATATCCAAAGAGAAAAAGATTATTATTGAAATATTGTGAAATAAATATTTTTTATTTAATCTATATTTAATTAAATAAAAGTATTTTCAGTTGTTCAAGAAAATAGATTTATTTAGTCTTATCAATTACACGTTTTAGTTTATCAATAAAATAATTCTCAGTTAAGATAATCAATATAACTTACAAAGAAGAAAACATTTGTTTTTTTAACATTTGTACATTTATTTTATGAATAGAAATATAAAAACGACGAAATTGATTTTCAAGCGTTTCTCTTCTCTCTTCTTTTACTTTAATTACATCTCTGGGCAAAAGTTTTGTCCTCCATTCCCCTCGGACCACAATCGTCAAAAGGGTTAGAAGTGTGAAAGCTTGTGTACACATATTTCATCAGAAATGTACGTCAATGATCGTACTTCCTCAACTCTGATAACTTGAAAGGAAACGGAGTTATGATGAATAGTATTTATTTTTGCTTTGAGCTTCATAACTTTGGAAGGGGAGAACATTGTAGATCAGCAACCCTATCATTATGTAACGCTATATTTCAACTATCTGTCATATAAGTTTTCGTAAAAGTTCGTCAACTCATGCATGAACTGTAGTCGTTTTACTGTAATCATCGGTGTGCAAAAAAAAAACCATCTATTATCTTTTGAAGATCAATAACCCAGCGATAGTTAAATGAATCGGTCTGAAACTTTCAAAGAAGCTTTCTACATAGTTTGGTACTGTTGTCTGCAAGTTTCAGAATCAAATGTTGTACTAGAAAGAAATGACACATTGATGATCATAATGTTAGTGTTCAAAATCTGAAGATACCAATATTCGAGCCAATGAACTTATCTTTTAGAGAAGAAAAGACCATAGATTGGGCTTTAGTTTCATGTAGAAATATTTAGAATTAAATTATGTACTTGATAAGAAGTAGGGCGAACTTTAGTAGGCATTCCTTTTAATTTATGAAGCTCATAGCAAAAAATAGATATCATTCATCATAACTCCGTTTCTACTCAAGCAATCGGAGGTGGAATACAGTCACTGACGTACATTTCTGATGGAATATATGTACACAAATTTTCAAACTTCTAACTCTTATGGCAACTGAGATTCGAGGAGAGAAAAGACTTTTGCCCAGGAGTATATTTACTAATAAATGTTTCAATAAAAGCATTAAAAAAATAAAACTCGTTTTTAATACCTTTCCATGATAAAATAAAACTGTCTAAAATAAATTGATTTTATTCGAACCAATTATTTTATTTTTATCATTAATGAAAAACTATTTAGAATATCTAATCCTGAAACATATAGAAATCTAAGTAATCAATGTTTTTCTTAATATTAGATAGATATTCTACAAAGGGACTAGAGACAAGAACAATACATCGAGTTGAAATCGATATTGAATCGATAAAAATGTCAATATGCTGACGATGTCTATACGTGCTATTTTTGATTGTCTCGATAAGATATATGTTTTTCATAGTTGTTATTTTGTCACTGACATATTTTTGATAATATATCAATTCTATTGTCTCTGAATTAAAATGAGATACGCATTTATCAAATTGATTCGAAGATAGAAATTGTAAGAATATTCATTGATAAACTTCGTTTATTTTTAATGTTTGATTTTAAATAAAAATGTTCGTCACAGAAAAAAAAACATACACAAATCCTTTTTCGCTTTTGATAAACATTTTTTTTTTCTTTTATAATGCAAACATACTCATTTGCATATTTACTTTAGTTTTTTTCTTTTGTAAAACACGATCTGAAAGAAGTGTTGAAATATATAGGGCAAAATTTCCACCCAACCCCTCCCCCCACAGATTGTACCAGACAGACTCCAGAGGCCATCGCAGACCATGACAGACAGGGTCCAGATCGATCACAGACCGCGATAGAAAGTCTCCCAATTCATTAGACACTATGACAAACACATTGTAAGAAGAATCAGAGACGATTATAGATAACTTGAAGTGATTATCGAACGTCTTGCATAAATCGCATCTTTTTCAAACGATTATGTAGTGTTTGCTCTTGGAATTTATATGCTATACAGTAAACAATAATGAATGCATGCTTTCGGAAATATGAAAAAAGGGCAATTTTCAGAGAGTTAGTAATATTAGGATTATCATGTTTCACATTTTAATCCCGGAAAAGATTGCGCTAACAGCTTTTAACCATCGAAACAAAAAAAAAATCATAAAATTTATATTATAGAAGTAACACTGATAGAAAAAAGACACATCTACTTTTATTCATAAAAAAAGTTCAATCAATATGATTCATCTTTAAAACTTATATTTTCTCAATCATTGATTATTTATGTTAATTGAAACAAACTTTAATAGAAATAAAAAAAACCCTAATTCTCACATTGACTTAAATCACCTTTGCTCTGAATATATATTCTATGAAACTTTCCAAATCTTATCAATAATTTAACATTGATTTAAAATAGAAAAAAAAGTCGATTTTAAAAAAGAGTTATCTATAAATAAAAATCGATGAAAAATCCTCAATTAATCATCATCTTTCAATGAATTATTATTCTTCAATAAAGAAATTTCATCCGTGATGTGATCAAGATCGCGTTCACTTTTCCAGATATAATCAACAATTGTCTTCATTCACTTTAAATGAACAAAGTTTTTTATTATAAAAATCAAACACATGTATTATAACTACATCAACGATATATGGACAAAAATGTCAATATACTAATTTAAAAGAGAACGAAATAAAAATAATTAAAAAAAAAACGTCCACATTTGATAATTAACATTTCGAAATCAGTTTTTCTTTGACAAGATTTAACATATGTTCAATTTTGTT